CCTGATGTGCATTGGTCAGACTAGGACAACTGGTCTATCTATAAGCTGAGTGTTTATGCTTTCTTTGTGTAGAGAATATTCTAAAGCCTTTACCAGCTATATGTAGTGTTCAGTTATTGTCAGGTATAGTTATCCTACTGTGCAGTAGAAGATTAGATGTTATCACTTTCCCCTAATCATACCCCTTTGCCCTTTTCCTCCTCTGCCCTACCCTCCTCAGACTTTGGTAGCCAGAATTATATTCTCTACTTGTATAACATTAACTTTTTAAGCCACCACAAATGCATGCATATGTGTGTGTTTTATTGTGTGGTTCCCGACTTGTTTAACTCAACTCTTTCCAGATTTATCCACATTGCAGAAAAATGACAGGGCTTCATTCTCCTTGAGGGCAAGTACAACGATAAGAAAAGTGATCAAAATTTCCTTCTTACCTTTGCCTCAGGTGCTTGAGACTCCCCAGAACCTTGTGTGCTCTCTCTAAGTCTCTGCTAGAGGGGGACCTTCAGGTGTTTGTGCAGCAGCCATCCAGGTGTATGAGGATGATATCCACAGAGGGGAACCTGCAGGTGTTTGTGCAGCAGCCACCCAGGTGTATGAGGATGATATCCACAGAGGGGAACCTGCAGGTGTTTGTGCAGCAGCCATCCAGGTGTATGAGGATGATAGCCACAGAGGGGAACCTGCAGGTGTTTGTGCAGCAGCCATCCAGGTGTATGAGGATGATAGCCACAGAGGAGAACCTGCAGGTGTTTGTGCAGCAGCCATCCAGGTGTATGAGGATGATAGCCACAGAGGAGAACCTGCAGGTGTTTGTGCAGCAGCCATCCAGGTGTATGAGGATGATAGCCACAGAGGAGAACCTGCAGGTGTTTGTGCAGCAGCCACCCAGGTGTATGAGGATGATATCCACAGAGGAGAACCTGCAGGTGTTTGTGCAGCAGCCATCCAGGTGTATGAGGATGATAGCCACAGAAGGGAACTTGCAGGTGTTTATGTAGCATCCATCCAGGTGTATTGGGGGGGGGCAATAACCACAGAACACTTTAAGTGCAGGTGAAGTGCAAGTTCAAAAGGATGGAGGTCTTCCTTTTTCTTATTTGGGTGTTTCTTGCTAAAGCACCTAATGAAAGATGAGCCTAAAGTCTTAAGTGTCCAGCTCAGCATTCCTAAGAAACCCAGTTCCTGTACATCCTCCAAGGGCTCCTTGTCCCTACTGACTGAATGCACTTTGATATTCCCCAGAAAAGCACAACCACTCCTATCCAGGATACACTCATCACTGACACTGTAGCTGACCAGTGTTCTTGGATCTAAATAAGGAAGGGATTACAAGCATTTTAATTTACAGCCATGGGATTTACCCACTAACTTCAAGGGATTTCAGGAGAAACAGTCACTTGACAAAGGCATTCATGTCAGTGAAAATTTCTGCCTCTCTGACTTAAGCACTGAAAGGCTGAGCTGTTCCCCCCTTTGAGCATTTGCACATTTCCTGGCTTACTCAGAGCTGGTAGGGTAAGAGATCAAAGATGACTAGGGATGCTGTACTCAGTCCAAAAAATGTTAGATGAAAGTGGGGTCCCATTTTTTGGTTTCTTTTGTAACTGGAAAGACTATCTCATTCACCAAGATGAATCAAAGTTAGGAACAGTATCTTTCAAATGAGAATATAGGTACTTGGCTATAATGCAGCAAAGAGAATCATATTTGGTAACCACTCAAGGGTCTCCCTCTGGTCTGTCTGCTCTGGGGTGGAGGGAAGCCAATGTCTTTGCTAAGCAGGGCTCTGCTTGTTCCATGGTTTGGGATTTATTGGTGAAGAGGCCCAAGGTGATGGACGATGTTAACCCCATTCCACCTCCTTTGCATGTAAATGTGTACTAGTACCACCTGAGTATCTTTTGCTTTCGCATAGAAGAAAAATAAAAATCTCTTAGCTTTACTTGGAGCCTGTGTTCTCTCCTATCACTTAATACCATGAGCCATCATGAGGCCAACACCTCAGGAGTCTCAAGGATGCTACTGATGTGACTTTTAACACTTACTTCACGTTGATTTTCTATTGAAACCAGTTTCTGCATGTCTTCAAGGTGTGCCCTCATCACTATTGAAGGAGCGGCTTCTAAGCTGTTGTTTACCAAAAAAGCTCCGTCTGCTCTTATTTGGGGCACTTCTGTTGCTGATGCCACAGCTAGCTGATGCATGCACTTGACCTTGAGCTTTGGTTCTAACCCATGACCCTCAATACTTCCATAAAGAATTGTGGAGGAATAAGAGGGAAATCAAGACCCCCTAAAATAAACTTCTGTGATGACAAGTGGCCAACCATTTTCCTGTTGCATGGCGTTTCCTCAGAAATGCTCTTGGGACACAGCAAAGAAAGGAAGCTTCCAATGTGGAGAGTTCTATGAAGGATAGACAGGAAAGAAGAATGGCTCCATTTCAAAAAAGCAGGAATTGGTACAATGATTAATTACTGATAAAATCATGAACTCAATTTACATATCAGGCCTGGGACAAGACTTGGTTTCTTTGTAAGTAGGACAGGAAAAATAGTTTTTACCTAGCATGATTACTGTGAATATTACTGAGATGGAAGGGAAGCGCTCAGCTTCATGTCCCTCACGAGACACCCAGAGGAGGGATCAGTGCACCACAGACTGTATTAGTCAGTCTATTCTTATATTGGTTTCCCTATATACGCCTCCTATTCAGACAAGATCAGGTCCATTCAGGATGGTGTGATCATAGACAAACCTCCTATTCAGAAACTGCTGGTCTGGGTCTTATTTCTGCCCTGATTACAATTTCTAGTGGTTTCCTTTGACTGTCCTTTCAATAGTTGCATATTGCTTGGGCCTGTGGGCAGTGGTTTTGAAGTTAATCTGAGTTTAAAATTCATAGAATTTTAACCTTTAGAACTTTACTTGAAAGATAAGTGAGAGGAAGTCTAGGAAAGGTATTTAATGTTCTCCAAGTCATGCTATTTTCCAAATATGTACTTCTGGATTGTCAAAATTGTTTTACACACACACACACACACACACACACACACAGTTTTACACACAAAAGGCTTATAAACCTTTTGAGCCAGAAGGGCAATACACTGGATTTGAACTAAAATGAGACCCTATTTGAAGGTGATAGAAGGTTTTTAATGAGATGGTTATAGGTCTCATTCAGGAAGACCATTTCTCTATTTCTAGAACAGAATCCACCCTACTTATAAATATATATGAGACAATCTGGGCTAAAAATGCTTGTGAACCACAAAGCTTTGTAGAAATCTGTTGTTGCATATAATCACACAAATGGTTCCATGACTATTTGAGACACTGATATCTGTGAGTGCAGCAGAGTAACTTAGCAAGCTAAAAACTTCATTTGCACAAGGCACAGCTTTCATGTAAGTGTTTCAGATAAGGTTTGGTTTAGAGTCATCGTTAGTAGAGACTCAGAATCTTGGATCTTGAGGTTCAGAGTGGGTAAAGAACATTGTTGGGTGGCTGCTGCCCCTGAGACCCTGCCAACCCCTCAGGTTCTGAATGCCCCTTTCTCATAGGGATTTAGGACATGTTGTCTTTGAAGGACTGATTCTATGGAGTTGGGCTGGTAACAAGCCATCTGCTTGTGAGCAGGAAGATAGTCCTTGAGTCTCTGTTGATACTTACTGGATTGCTGGGATTAACTACTCTGTATGTGTAGAAAAGTAAGAAGAGTACTGACTTCTTGTGATATAGTAGTTTATAGCATGCCGGCCTGCCACAGAGTTTCAGTGTAACAGAGCTCTTTGGGTGACTGGTGACAGTAGCTTCGAGAACTGTGCAGAAAGTGAGATGGGGGCAGTATACAGATCATGCTAGACAAAAAACACACTCAATCTCCTGTTTGCCAAGGGCTTTGGTAGGGATAATATAAGCACACAGTAGAAGAGACTAGGGGCCTGGCTCGTAATCCTGGTGTCATCATCATCTGCCCAGGAGACCCAAAGAAGAGCAGGAATCTCACTGGCTCTCCATTTTTCTCATTTCGTGCTTACACGCCCACACACACGCACACACACACACACACACACACACACACACACACACACGTGATAACTGTCCCCTCCCTTCTGGTTATCGTCTCTTCTGCCTTGAGGAAAAGTATTTTACTTCATGTCAGCTGTGCCTAATCTGAAGGAAGACAGCCAGTCTTAAGATTAAGGCTTAGGTATAATTCTACCTAATTTACTTCCTAGGGTCTTGTGAGATTAGAATCCAGAGACTACGTGGCTGTGAAAATAATACATAGACTGCAGCAGGCCATGCCTTCATCTCCTCCCGTTTGCTAAGGAGTAAGCTCTGCCGAAAGTCCAGCCTATGAAAGAAATTCCTTTCCTTTTAGAGAGTATTCGCGGAACATTCTTCCGGCTATAGCAAAGGGAAATAAAATTGACAACGCTATGTTTTATAAAGGATGGAAGCTGAGAGTGTTTGCCTTGGGGCCTCTCACCGTCCTTCTTGGTTCTCAGGAGGGGATAAAATTGCCAAGCTACTTTTTGTATTAAGAAGGAGGAACTAGCAGGCCTGTTTGTTTCTTTTTGTTTTCTATGAAAATATACACACTCTCTCTTTCCAGACCCCTGAAGTCAACTTTGAGAATGGCATAAAAAATCTTCTGTGTTGATCTTAGCTAAACCATTTTTTACACATAAAGTCAAAAGGTTCATTCCCCATGTGGCAATGTGTAGTCAGATGTTACTGTCTTCAGAAATGGAGGAACAAAAATGTTTACTGCTGCCCAGGGATGAAGGTGGGAGTTGAGGTGGGGTCAGGAGGTTTCAGAAGTCCTTCTATAAAGTTATCTTCTTTCCAGTACTTTTTTTCTGGGCTGGAAGTCTGTGGGCAGCTGCTGGGCTGGGATGTCAAAATGTTGAGAGGGTATGAAGGAATGTACTTCCGCTCACCACAATTGGAGGTAAATTCCAGTTATTGATATCTGGCCTTTGCTTTCAGATCAGACTCCAACGCCCACGAGATTCCTGAAGAACTGTGAGGAGGTGGGTCTCTTCAGCGAGCTGGACTGTTCCTTCGAGCATGAGTTCCGGAAGGCTCAAGAAGAGGAGAATAGCAAGCGGGTAGGTGGGCCTGGGTGGAAGCTAGAGGTGTGTTGCCTCAGCACCATGTGGAAAATGTCTGCCACTGCAAACTGTGTTGAGGCCTTCTTAGAAAGGTATTTTGAGACAAGTCCTTGCTAAGTAGTTTAGGCTGTTAAAGGTATAATCCCCCTGACTCAGTCTCTCAAACACTGGGGTTATATGTATGTGCTATAATACCTGTTTGTAATAGTATTTTCTTATTTGTGTGTGTCTATCTAACTTTTTCTTTTAAAATGATGATAGCATACAGAGCTCACGTTAATCACGGAGAAATGAGTATCTGGCACATGGAATTCAAGTTTTAGAAAAATATTACCTTATTCTTAAAGCCGTGTCAGATAAATTCACCTGGAACCAGGTTTTTCTTTGCTAAATATTTAACAACAGATCTTGCACAGGCGGTATATTCAAAAGACACCAGGCTAAGGGGCAAGTAATCTTTGGTTTTTCTCTACCGGATGTGAAATCATTTTCTGGTCATGTAATCTGGTCACGTTACTGAACATATATTGTTAGTTCGGGAAACAGGTCACTTCATGAAATTCTTCAGTTTTTTGTTTTGTTTCTTTTGTCCATGTTATTTTGGTAGAATTTTTAAATCCACTAACAAGACTAAGCAAAGAAGGTAGGGTCATGGGTAAACTTGACAAGTGTACCTTTCATGAATTCTTCGTTACTGTCATAGAATGTCACTGAATGCACACCACGTGCTGAACATGTTAGACACAGCCGATGGACAACAATGTAAAATGTGGAAGATGGTTAAAAATCAAACAGCAAAGTGGGGATGAAACCTGAAATCCCAGCTGTCTCGACCACAAAAGACATTTTAAAAGGCTCTGATAGTTTTCTGTCTGCTTCCAAGCCTTTGACTCTTCCTCTGTGTGAAATCATAGTAATCCTCCATCCGATTTTCCATGTCACATTTACATTGTGCTGGCTCAGGGCTGGCACATAGTGACCAGGCTGCATTTCTCAGGAGGAGTGCAAAAACCAGAATCAGCTGGCTTTATTTATAACTAGCTGGCCATTTATACTCCTCCTTCCCTCTCGCTCCTGTCCCCGCTTTTTCTGAGCACATTCATCTCTTTTGTTCTCCGCTAGGCAAATCGTCAAGTCCTGAACACGTTCAGAAGCACTTCTCAAAAAACCAGAAGATACAACTAGATTTCATTGTGGTGCATATAAACTTTAAAGCCCTGTGAGAATAACAAGGGAGAATCAGGGAGTCCCATCCAGTAATTCCCTCTGCTTGAGTAATGAGTTTAATTCTTTTGATCAATTTGCATAAGTAGGAGACTGTTTGAGGAATCAATGTCACTCACTCATTTTCCCAAGACAGTTCAAGGGGGCTCATTAGATTATGACAAAGTTGGTGTGTGGTCAGTACTGTCTTCATATTCCTTCTGATAGAATGGTAGTAAGCACATACCCTTGATTTTCCTAAAGATCTTTTACCAAGGACAGCTTGGTGGGGCCTCAGTTGGGGGCGTGGCGTTAGGCGTGCTCCTGGTGAGTTATTCATGAGTCTCCTGTGAAGCTTTCTGCAAGCAGCTCTTGCAAATCTGAATTCCAGGAAATGGCTTGCTTCCCCTGAGGAACTTGAGCATTTTTCTGCTGGTTGTATTTCCCCTTTTTGCTCTGACAGCTAGATTATCACAAAGCTAAGGGTACTGCTTAACTTGGAGAGTTCTTTAGACCACTATAATGAGTAATAGTTTACTTCCTCCATCTACTTTCAGTTCTAGTTTGTATTTCCTCTGGTCCCGATTTCTAATTAAAAGTATTTTCATGCTATACATGTTTGGCGAATCGCCTTAAATTCCTTGTAGGCTGAGAAGACATGAACTCATTACAATTTTAAAATTAAATAACGAAATAAGCAGTGCCGAGCAAGGGAACTGTGGTAATGGCAGTGTTTTTCTCTTGTTAAAATGTTGCTCATCACCATGGGATGTGTGGGGGGGAGCGGCTGCAGACAGACCTTTCAGGACAGCATAGCAAGCACTGGGAGCCAGGCCACATTCAGCTTGGTGTGGCTCCCTCTTCCTCCGTTTGGTTCAGTCCAGAGGGACTAAATCCATCCTTGGGTGGCCACCACCACACCACCACAGGAGGGGCTGTCTCCCCAGTGACTAACACACTGCACTGTGACTCACACAGCATCGAAGTGGCTGGGTTGGTGGCATGGCATTAAACCATGGGGTGGGGAATGCGCAGAAGCATCAGGGTTCCCAATCTGAAGGTGTGCTTCCACCTCCCTCCAGGACTGCTCCTCCGCAGCTCTTAGCATCCCTGAAGGCCTGCCACCTAAAGCTCCCACTTCATTTATTCTTCTGCTGCCTGGCAAAGTAGAGACATGAAGCCCACACTCACTGAGTTCCGTATCATTTTCCAGTTATTCTCCCCTTCTTTCCTTTTACTGGGCATTCAGGTGCTGGTTTGTTTTCAGCAAGGGTTTTCTTCCCAGTGCTTGAGGCGAGGCAAAGGGCCTCATATGTGACAGGCAAACATCCTGTCAGTGAGGTCCATACCTAAGCCCAGTTGCTTCCCCTTAATTCTAAACCTTCAACCTTTTCTGATTTCCTCACCTGAGCCCTCCTCTCTCTCCCTCTGTTGTATACACACGTTCATGCAAGTCAGCATGCCATGCCTGGTTTTTATGTGAATACTGGGCATCTGAACTTGTGTTCTCATACTGGTGGGGAATCTATCTCCTCAGCCCACTTTTGGTCCAAGTCCTCTAATAGGAAGGTCCTGGGATTGTTTCATGGGAGAGTTTTGTAAAGTGGAGGATGTTTTTGGTTATTTGGAGAACTTGGTTTGGATGGTCCTGTATGTCACCTTTGCATTTCTGGCTGTAGGGTCAGGAAGTGCGGACAGAAAGCAAGGTGGAGGATGGATTCTTATGAGTCTGTGTCCACTGAAATGATCCCACTTTACTGACTCCGACTCCAATTCTGACAAATAGTTGCTCATTGCCTCCTAACTCCTCTGAGAGATATTCCACACTCAGAAAGTGTTATAACTCTCTAGCAGGCATTGGAAGCTCAGCTTGCCCATGGCTTAGAACTCATCGGTCTGTACCCTGAAATGCATAACTTGTTCATCAGCCTCCATTCAGAAAAAATTTAGGGTAAGCACAATATATCAAGTATTGTCCAAGTCACCAATGAAGACAACAATAAATATAAATGATCAAAACCCAGGCAAGCAATAAAATGCCTCAGCCTTCAGATGCCTTGCTTTTTATGGACTAGACAAACAACACACCAATGACAAATGCCTCATGGTGATTGGGTCCTACAGAGTTATACCCCATGATGCTCATTGCTATGGAGTTATGTCCCATGGTGATTAGTGCTATGGAGTTATGCCCCATGGTGCTCAGTGCTATGGAGTTAAATGCAGTTGTGAAGGAGCTCAGGAAGGGCTGGGTATGTTCAGAAGAGGCACCCCAGTGGACCCAGAAACCCAAGTAGAAGTCCTGAACCTGAGAAGGTGACCTGTGAGAAGAGAGAGAATATGTGTAAAGGCCGGAGGCTGGATGATGGGATGTGTGTTGGAAAAGCTCTGAAGAGAGGTTCAGCTGGGGGAGGGTAACTTAGAGAGCTAGGTCTGGGGAGGCAGGCCAGGAGGGCACTGCAGGCCATGTGAAGTGTTCTGTTTTGACACTGACTCAGAATGAGATGGGAAACTGTAGGTCAATTCTGGGTAGAGATAATGCTTTAGAAAAGCCATTTTGTCTGCTGAGCGGAAAGCCAATGGTTGGAGGCAAAATGAGAAAATATTTAAGGAAGAATTGAAAGAAATCTAGGTTAATGTTGGTGGCATATTTGCCTAAAATAGAGATGGAGGATGTGACTGGGATCTAGGTATATTTTAAGGACAGAGGTGATAGTTTTGCTGGTAGAATATACTGGAAGTGACAGGGAAAGGAGACTCGGGGAGACCCAGGTTTTCCACTGTGTAACCCAAAGGGTGGAGTGGGTGTGGGAAGGAACAGGGTTAGGAGAACCTGACATTTGACTTCATGAGACTGATAGGACTCACTTCTGACAGGAGTGACTGTCAAGTGAAGGTCTAAGCATGGACCCCACAGTTCTCCAGTTCAGACTTCATTCACCTCTGCTCAGTGGAAACTGGGTCAGGAAGAACCATCTCCTTCAGAAATGATAAAGATTTTTGTGGTCCAGGGCAGAAGAAAGAAAAATTAAAAAAAAAAAAAAAATCTGTTTTTTTTTTTTTTTTTTTTTTGAAAGGGATGATTGGCCTTACACATTTGATCCTTTTCTAGAAAAGAGACTGATTAATACACAAGCAGGCACATACTCCACTGACACAACAGCAGTTTTGCATATAGTTGTGCACAAAGTTTTTGCATGTATGTGAACACAGTTTTTACAAGTGTTATCTTCCCCCCCTCATACATACATACATACATACATACATATATGTCCTCAGCCCAATTCTCTTTCTTTCTCTCATTCAAAGGCATTGGAACTGAAATCCTTTGTCTTACTGAGAGAAATATAACGTTACAGCCTAACATGACTAAACACCCCATGGATAAGAAACACAGTGTGCAAGTGCTACATGTTGGGATTTTCCCATAGGACCTGAATATGGCTCATTATGCTGATGCAGAAATAGCAAATTAGGACATCTAGAATTCCTTCTCAAATGATGAAAAGTGCAGTCTATCCCTAGAGGGTATTGGCTCTTTCACACATGGGGAAAAGGGACAAGCTATGGTCTTAAGATCTTGTATCTCAGCTCAGTGGGGGGTGATGGAAATGGTCATGGCCAGGGCAGCCCCAGCTCTGATAGGCCAGGCTGTTTACTCTCATTAAATTCTGCATCTAGCTGTGTTACCAGATGCCACCGGTTGCTTGGAGAGAGATGAGGCAGAGAAAAGGTCAACATAGAAGGCTGTTGGCCTCTTCCTACTGTCTTACTCTTACCAGCCACTAGCAGGC